AAAGACCCAAAAGGACTTCGTTGGGCTTTTGGCATAGCTGCTGTGGAGACGGAGGAAATTAGACAGTTGAACACCTTGCCTGGTCTCTCAGAGGACCCCTCTGCTGTGGGACTGCTGAAGGTTGAAGAACAATTGGTACCGATAGCCACAGCAACAGTGCACCGTCGGCAATACCGCACCGACCGAGACTCTGTGACCCCTATACATAAGATGATCCGTGAACTGGAGACCCAGGGGGTGGTCAGCAAGACTCGCTCACCCTTTAATAGCCCTATATGGCCAGTGCGTAAGTCCAGCGGAGAGTGGAGGCTGACGGTGGATTACCGTGGACTCAATGAAGTCACACCACCCCTGAGTGCTGCTGTGCCGGACATGCTGGAGCTCCAGTACGCGCTGGAGTCCAAGGAAGCCAAGTGGTATGCCACCATTGACATTGCCAATGCCTTTTTCTCCATTCCTTTGGCAGCGGAGTGCAGGCCACAATTTGCTTTCACTTGGAGAGGTGTGCAGTACACCTGGAATCGACTGCCTCAGGGGTGGAAACACAGTCCCAGCATTTGCCATGGACTGATCCAGACTGCACTGGAAAAGGGTGAGGCTCCAGAGCACCTACAGTACATTGACGACATCATTGTATGGGGGAACACGGCGGGCGAAGTCTTTGAGAAAGGAGAGAAGATAATCCAGATTCTCCTAAGAGCCGGTTTTGCCATTAAACGGAGTAAGGTCAAGGGACTTGCTCAGGAAATTCAGTTCCTAGGAGTGAAGTGGCAAGATGGACGCCGCCTAATTCCCATGGAGGTGATTAACAAAATAGCAGCCATGTCCCCACCAACCAGCAAGAAGGAAACACAGGCTTTCTTAGGTGCTGTGGGCTTTTGGAGGATGCATATCCCCGAGTATAGTCAGATTGTAAGCCCTCTCTACCTTGTGACACGGAAGAAAAATGATTTCCAGTGGGGCCCCGAACAACAACAAGCCTTTGAACAAATTAAACAGGAGGTTGCCCATGCGGTAGCCCTTGGGCCAGTAAGGACAGGACAGGACGTGAAGAACGTGCTCTACACCGCAGCCGGGGAGAATGGCCCTTCTTGGAGCCTCTGGCAGAAAGTGCCTGGGGAGACCCGAGGATGACCGCTGGGATTCTGGAGTCGGGGATACAAAGGATCTGAAGCCAGTTATACACCAACTGAGAAAGAGATCCTGGCTGCCTATGAAGGAGTTCGAGCTGCCTCAGAAGTAATCGGCACCGAAGCGCAGCTCCTCCTGGCACCCCGACTACCAGTGCTGGGCTGGATGTTCAAGGGAAGAGTTCCTTCCACACATCACGCCACCGATGCCACGTGGAGTAAGTGGATCGCTCTGATCACGCAGCGAACCCGGATAGGGAACCCTAATCGCCCTGGGATTCTGGAAATTATCACCAATTGGCCCGAAGGTGAGAGTTTCGGACTATCCTCTGAAGAAGAGGAGGAGAAGGTGACACGGGCTGAGGAGGCCCCACCATATGACAAACTACCAGCAGACGAAAGGCGATATGTGCTCTTCACGGATGGCTCCTGCCGCATTGTAGGGACAAACCGAAAATGGAAGGCAGCTGTATGGAGTCCCACACGGCGAGTTGCAGAAGCGACCGAAGGACAAGGTGGGTCAAGTCAGTTTGCAGAGCTTAAAGCCGTTCAGTTGGCTTTGGATATAGCTGAACGAGAGAAGTGGCCAAGACTCTATCTCTACACCGACTCATGGATGGTGGCCAATGCTCTGTGGGGATGGCTGGAGCGATGGAAAAAGGCCAACTGGCAGCGCCAAGGGAAACCCATCTGGGCGGCGGAGATGTGGCAGGACATCGCTGGCCGGGTAGAGAAACTGAGTGTGAAGGTCCGTCACGTAGACGCTCATGTAGGCAAGAAACGGGCTAATGAGGAGCATCGTAACAACGAGCAGGCGGACCGAGCTGCCAGGATTAAAGTCTCTCAGGTAGATCTGGATTGGCAGCACAAAGGAGAATTATTTCTGGCTCGATGGGCCCATGATGCCTCCGGTCACCAGGGGAGAGATGCAACATACAGATGGGCTCGTGACCAAGGGGTGGACTTAACCAAGGACATTGTCTCACAGGTCATCCATGACTGCGAGACGTGTGCTGCCATCAAGCAGGCCAAGCGGGTGAAGCCTCTATGGTATGGTGGACGGTGGTCAAAGTACAGGTATGGGGAAGCCTGGCAAGTTGACTACATCACGCTCCCCAAAACCCGCCAAGGCAAGCACTACGTACTGACCATGGTAGAAGGGAGTACTGGAGATGGTTGGAGACATACCCCGTGCCTCATGCCACTGCCCGGAATACCATCCTGGGCCTTGAAAAACAAGTCCTGTGGCGACACGGCACCCCGGAGAGAATTGAGTCTGATAATGGGACCCATTTCAAGAATGGCCTCGTAGACACCTGGGCCAAAGAGCACGGCATTGAGTGGGTGTATCATATCTCCTACCATGCACCAGCTGCTGGAAAAGTTGAGCGGTGCAACGGACTGCTGAAAACCACCCTGAAGGCACTGTGTGGGGAGACTCTCAAACACTGGGAGCTGCATTTAGCAAAGGCCACCTGGTTGGTCAACACCCGAGGCTCCATCAATCGAGCTGGCCCTGCCCAATCAGAACTTTTGCATACTGTAGATGGAGATAAAGTCCCCGTGGTACATATGAGAGGAATGTTAGGGAAGACTGTATGGATTAGTCTCACCTCAAGCAAAGGCAAACCCATCCGAGGGATTCTTTTTGCTCAAGGACCTGGTTCCACCTGGTGGGTAATGCAAAAAGATGGGGAGACACGTTGTGTACCACAAGGGAACCTAATTTTGAGTGAGAATGGTCTGTAATGTTTCATTGTATACATATATGTATATAGATAGATGTATATAGTTTAAAGGGGGTTAATTTGGGCATGACATGGATGGCATAGAATAAGGGGTGGATAATGTCCTAGTTAGGACAACTGAGACCAGTTCATCAGGGTATGGGTGTAACCCAAAACTGTGTATTCTATAGCCTTCCATGCCATTTCCCAGAAACTGATATCAATGAACCATTTACACCCTCTGCCCATAGAGCCTGACTCCTCAGGCTATAAACTAGGTGTTAAGAGGCCTGTGAGATAGGAGGATGCTCCTGTCCTCACACCCTTTGTGGAACTCCCCGCCCTGAGGGAAGTGCTGAGCATTCCTGCCTGAACTGCAGGATATATAATCTTGGAGTCTTGGAACATTTTCAACCACTCTGTGGGATCCAGAGAAGGACTGCGGCTCATCACTCTCAAACAGACTTGGACCACCACCCTATACTGGACTGCAATCACCACTTTGACCAGACTGCAACAGCTCTCCCCCCAGCATCTCACTGCAATCACCACTTTTGACCAGACTGCAACAGCTCTCCCACCAGCAGGTTCTTCCCCTCTCCCTTTACTTTGGACTCAAGCGGCGCCCAAGGAACACCACGTTGTTCATGCCCCAGGGTACTGGGTTATACATTTGGGTTTTGTGGGTTAAGACCAATTGTTTGTTTGTATGATTGTACTTACTGTATTATTTTAGTAAATTGTTATTCTGACTTATAATCTCTCCTTTGAGTTGAGTTCATTTCCCCTGCTGGTTAACTCTTAAACCAGCACAAACACAAAATTTATCTGAGAACCACATCTTCCAGAGAGGCAGTTAAGGGATAAGCAGGATGCAACAGAACCACAGCTAAGATTTCCAGAATCACTTTTATTTATTATTGCATTAAACCATATAGTAATATGAAAGTTTTGTTAAAAACAGAAACATCAGACTTCTTTTTTTCAGCTGGGAAAATATTCCTAGATTAATTAGCCCTCCTGTGTTTCCTTAGGAAGGGTACCTCCTGATGGAGGTTCCAATAACGTTAACTCAAATTCCAACTCTGGCAACTGGAGCATACTGAGGAAGCCAGTGCTGACATCCTAGTTCTACCACTTGGTAGGCTTTTTTACCTTGAGCAAATCAATTAATCTCCAAAGAAATGTGTGTCTTCTTCTAAATTTTTTGTGCCATGAATGTTGAAACACAAACAACTGCAGGAGGGAGGAGGAACTGTCTGTACAGAGACTAAAACGCAGTGAAGTCGTGCAGGCACTTGATGTCTCTCACTGCTTTCTAAAATCTCTTCTATGCATAATAAGGTGGTTACATCTTTCTGTAGCTGTTATCACCACCATGTCCAAGTATTTCATTACCATGAGGGTCAATAAAACCTTTCCCAATGCCTTAGCTAAGTGAAGAGGTTGAACCACATCAGAAGTCAAAACACTTTTGGATTATGATTTTTTTTCCAGGTTTCACGCTGTCGAAAAATAATTCCCTTTCACTTCCTCCCTGGAAACTGGGTTTTGCAACCCAACCCCCTGTGGTGCCACAGTGAGACCTCCACAGAACACCAACACCCCCAGTGCAGGAGTTCCCTGAAGTGCCCCACCAGGGTGGTTGGGAGCAATGGAAATGTGCCATTGATTGGATTTTTCCAGGCCAGGTTGCCATACTGATTGAAAATTAGCCAGAAATGGGAAGAACAATTTTTAACTTCCATAACCTGCTTTTCAAAAAATGCTTTGGTCTCTTAGCAGCAGGTACTCGGCGTCCCCGTTTCTTTTTGCGCTTGTACTTTAAGTGGGGCACATCAGTCAGGGTGGGGCTGCATCAAAGAACTGTCTCATTCTCTGTCCTTTAAATCTCAGTCCTAGCTGGATTCAGTGGTGCAGTCCCCACAGGCAGTTTCTGGTTATCTTGGGGGAAGGGCAGCAAACACAACTCTCACAAAAATCCAGCTCAGCTTTCCGTTGCCAGGCGACGTCACGGCTTTACAGCAGATCCAGCTGCTGATGTTACCAAGCAACGTCTTTCCCATCAAGTTGGGCACTTGAAAATCATTACGTGTTTACTAATTCTCAGGACGGATTTTGGTCTCCCTCCCAGCTCTTGGTGTTTGCTCCTCTAGAATCTGTGAGAAAGCTGAAGGGCTGTCGTAGGTCAGTCATTCTTGCAGATCTCTATGATGTTGTTGTAACATGCAGAAATTAGGAATGGTTTTGCACTGCTTACATCAAGATCAGAAAAGAACAAAATTCTGAACACCTCTCTTTCTTCTCTTTCCTATGAGAACAACTGGTGTGTAATAATATGCTCAGTGCTTCAGCACAGCTTTGCAATGCTTTATGTGTGGTATCAATCTTGTGAAAGTAAGGAACATAAAAACATTTTGTCTTATTTTGGCAGTATTTATACCATAAAGCAAAATGACCTCAAACTAAATTGTCTTATATAAACACCTGAGGTAGCATGTGTTCAATTTATAAGAAGCTAACATACCTGAGCAGTGTGTGGTTGGTAAGCATACCAAATACTGTATATACTAGGATTAAATTTGATCATTCATGACAAATTATTTGGATTTTACTGGAATACCTAATTCATTAACCCACTACATAACTTACCTTTAACCTGACCTGTGTTTTCCCCCAGTTTGAGTCTTCCAGTCCTCCTGGGTTAGATCCTCTTTTGATCAAGAAAAGACAGTCTCTCCCTGGATGAGCATGAAGTGTGGATGAGGAACCACAGGGGAAATTCCAGCAAACAACAGTAAAGCAGCCTGATGTGAGTACTTCTTCTCCCACCAGTTCTATCATAAAATAAAAGAGAATAAATAGAGACATCAAGGGATGTGGAATGCTCTCACAGTTGGTGGTTTACACAAACTGGTTTGACTTTGTAGTGGAACCTCATTGCACATGGCTCATCTCATGGCTCATCTCTCTGGCACCAGTGCAGAGGTTGCTTTTGCAAACCTTACACAAGCAAACAGAGGAACTCTCCTTTGCACATGTGGTGACAAAAATACACAGTCAGAAATCATGATCAAATACCAGGGGAACATTTTCCTCCAAGTTTGTGCCAGAGAATTGTTCTGCAAGGCAGCTGCTTCACTTTCACTTTTGGGCATTTTCTGGCCTTAGCTTAGAAATGGAAGAGCACCAAATATGAGTTCAGTTTGTGTTTATGAGGAAACAATGCAGCTAGCAGAAGTGAGGATGTATTACCAGGCTTGTGTTTTCCTGAGCTCCCACAGGATCCCTGCTCTTAAATTCATGGCAGAGAGCCTAAACAAAAAACATTGCATTATTTGTTGTCTATAAGGCAATGAATTTTGCAAAGCTTCTGTTTTGTTTTCTAAGGAGAAGCACACTAAAACCATGATTTGATGAACTTCAGATTTTCTGGATTCTGAATTGCCTGGGGAGAGCAGAGAAAAGGGGATACTGCAACCACTTTCAGATCTTTTAGTTTTTGAGCTTCTATAGATCTTGACCTTTCCATCTTAAATTCCTGAAGTTATAATATGGATTTATTTAATGTATTGTATTACCCACATGCCACCAAACCCACTCATATGTACTTTGCTTTATTACCTGAAAAAGCTCAGGATAATTAAAAAAAAAAGGGGGGGGGGAAGCTCAGGTAATTTATTTCCATTCTTTGAAATTCTTCTTGGACCAGTAACAGTGGCTTAAGGTGGTATAACACAGCTTGGATTGCTGGATCACCAGCTTCATTTAAAAAAGAAAAGGCTTAGAAGGCAGGGCCACTGATGTAGTCCTTGACCTTGCAACTGTGCTTTCCAGCTCTTCACATGCTTTATGTTTTCAAGGCAGGAGTTTGTAGACCAAGACTTTGTGAAACAAAAGTCAGCAGACAACATATTGCTGCCCTACGAAATCCTGCCTTTTATCATGTCAGATATGGCACCAGAAAACACCAGTGGTGTTCACAGGAACTTGTTGATCCCATGGATTTACCACTAACGATAAATACACTGTCTTCTGTTATCATCTGTGTTTCTGAGCACCCCTTTGTGGAGACATCGCTGGAACGGACAACCAGAATTAATAATAACAATCAGCTCGCCCATAAACCAGTACTTCTTGTAACATCACATTTCAAAGGGTTTTTGTCACGTCTCCACCCTTCAGGATGATTAAATGGGAAATTATTTCACCATAACCTGAACAAGCACATCAACATTTGCCAGCAGGTATTTCTGACAGCTCTCAAGAATAATATGAGAAAATGAAAGACAAACACAAACACGTAAACAAGCCTGAAAACAAAATGCAGAATAGATATTGCCCTCAACACTAATTCTCCCTTGCAAACAAACACATGCATGACTTCAATGTACTGTTGCTACAGTTTCACTGAACAATTTCTGTAGTGCCAGGAGCGCTGCTCATGCCACAGGCCGAGAAACAGTAGAAGTGAAACACGTTTTAACCAAAGTTCCTGTTCTCTGGGGTTGCTTTTGTGAAAACCAGTAGTGCTCAGTTTCTGACAGGCAGAGCCTGGCAGGAGCAGGGGGAGGCCGGGTGGAGGAGGTATAACTTGTTTTCTTTCTCGCCTGGGGTGGAGGCAAGTTGGTTGCTGAGCAGGTTATGAAGGTGGGTCCCGGGGAGAAAGCCTACATTGCATGAGTCTGAGGAGAAGGAGCAGGAAAATAAGGTGAAAACTGGTGAGGTGAAGATGGAAGGAATGGTTTGAGGACGTGCTCTAGGAGCGTCAGTGAATCCAAAGCGGCCAGATTAATCCTGGAATGTAAGTGCAACATTAAACATCTCTTGCTTTCAGGAAAGCAGTTGTTTCACAGCACAAAATAGGCTGGACAGACCACTTTGGTACTAGTGAGCAGTTTCTGAGATATGTAGCGTTATAATAATTTTAATAATGACATGTAAATTGTAAAAGATACCATAGAAAGATGATGGAGATTATCTTGTTGTTAACCTATGTTTATTTAATGAATGGATTTTTAGCATGTTTTTAATGTTTATTTGAAATTCTATACGTATGATAAAGCACTTGTAGTCTGCAATCTAAGTAATACCTGTGCATTCAGAGAATGATTGAGAAATAATGTATGTAAAAAGGATTACAGTAACATTGTAATCTGAAAAGTTATCTTAGTGCTCTGCAATGTAATTCACACATTATTATCACTTGTTTCGTTACTGGAGAACATATAATGTCTTTTTCCTATTTATGACATTTCCTATTTCCTATTTATGACATTTATCTTCATTATTGAGCAGGTGGTAATGTGAGAATTGTGTGACAATTGTGAAATTTCGTGCTCCAGAGAAAGAAAAGAGTGAGTGGGCAGTATGATATGATGTGTTAGTGGAGATTTGTGGTAGCTGGCACTTCTGCTGTGCTCTTGTAATTTTCTACTTTGATTCCTGTACATTTAAATAGAAATAAAGTATTTTTTTCTTTCAAATGAATATTACAAATTGGGCCTCAAGATGCTGTTTTTAACAATCAGCATTGCTGAGCTGGTGCAGAAATACTGAGAGTATTTTATGCACTGGAGAAAATTTACTCTAAAATAAATAGAACAATATTATGCCATGCATGGGCTTATCTATTTAAGGACTTGATAAGCAAAATTTGCATTTTGCCCAACTGATATACGAGACCCTACCCCAATTAACTAAAAAACTCCACGGGGACTTGAGAGAGTTCCATTTATCCCCCAGTTTATGTTATTAATGCAAGTGGTCGTGAGGGGACAGTTTAGGGAGCTTTAAATTTTGAGGTGTTTTCACATGATGTCTGTGGGAACAGAAAAAGATCTGGGAAGAGAAAAGCTCGGCAGGTCAGTGGCCCAGAAATGCCAGGATATCCACTCTTAGGGAATTGTGCTGGCTGTTGAGGGAAGCACATTGCTACAGCCAAGTTATCCTTTCCCTCCTGTGCACTTAAACCTTAGTCAGCAGCTCTAACAGTGCAAGAATGTTTTATTATATCGGTGCATACTTAAGACATTATAATCTTAATCTGTTGTCTTGGAACATTTCCCTGAGCTGAGCCTGGCAAGATTTATGTGTGCACACTGCTTCAGGACGGAGTACTTCATACTTGGGGAGCAGGGATTCTGAAAATGTTACACGCAGCCTTTCATGTAGCTCAGAACTGTTTCAAGACAGCAGAGGATTTGGCAGTAATCTCAGCAGATAAAACCTCATGTTGCTAATTAATCACCAAAAGTGCAGTCGTGGCCCCGGTGATTCCAACAGGAGCAAGTTCAAGCACCACTATATCCCCTGAAGACACTCCAGTTTAAACAGAGCAGAGCTTAAAAGCACAACACCGAACTTCTCTCTCTCTCCAAGACTCCTGTGAAGAAGAACAACGTTCCAAGTTTTTAAAAGTGTGCTGTAGTAATAGGGAACAACATTCCTTAAAATCTTCTATGGTTCCTTGGGATTCAAAGTGCAACCTCTCTTTTACAGCCTGACTTCAATGGTGTTTTTCTTGACATATGCTGCAGACCAATCCCAAATTCTTTGGAAAATAAAATTCAAGAGACTGTGTAATTTTCACCTTTTCAATAATACAATAAATACACTGAATTTAAATGCATGAACCCCAAAATAAAATGTCTAGAACAAGATGTGAATGTTTATAAGTGAATCTCTGTTGTATACTCATTATTGAGTACCCTTTTCCAAAAAATACAGAAATGAGTGATGTCTGGGGAGACACTGAATTCTAGAACCGCTCAGAGGATTTTTTTAAAATTTAAAATAATTAGAGCTGAACTAGTATAAAACCAGTAGTAATTATAGTAGGCAGATCCTGTGAAGTGTAAAGAATGTGTTTAGATCATAACATTGTGAGCAGAATAATGCCTAAGAAAAACAGGGAACGGTGCCACTGATGAAGATAAAAAATCAAGTTACTCTTTCTCTGAGTGCATCTATGGAAAATGGTTTGTTTCAGTGATGGTCAGGTTTAACATTGTGGTTCTGACAATGTGAGCATGCAGCTTGATCCAGGAACTCCCAAGGAGTACAAGAGGTTTGAACACAGTTAAGACAATAAGGTTTTCCTATGGGCTGTCCATCCAAAATAGCTTTGGCAAGGAAAATGCCTTCCTGTACAAATGGCACGGGATAATCCAGAAACAGAATAACAAAGCTCTGCTTCAAGGAATGTCTTTCAGCATAAGTAGAGCAAGTGTAGGGAAGACAGCAGAAAAACATTAGGAAATAGACACTTCAGGTGTTCCCTTCCCCTGATTTATGACTCAAAATCATTGTAAGACTGGATGTCAGGAGGGGTAGCTGAGATGACAGTCCCCCAAAATTTCCAGGGTTTTCTGTTGTTTTTATTTTGTTGTGGTTTTTCACAGAAGACTCAGAGCTTTTTCTTTTGTTCCAGTGATCTCTCTTTAATTGCTGTGTGATACTGGCTGTCAGCACCGAAATGGGCAATGAGAACAGCAGTGCAGAAAATGAGGTGAGTGTGTGTCATGGTTTGAGATAGCCCCAACATCCAATTCTCTAGCTCCATTCCCCCTCCCACATCTCAACCTAATGTGAGATGGGTTTTTTCCAGACAAAACACACCAGACTCCAAAGTGGGGGAAAGGGAAATATATTACAATGACTGTACAAATAAATACCATATCACATTATACACATGATCATAACTATCTCTACCATGACATATGTATTTACAATGGATCAGATCTCTTCTCCCCTCCAAATAAAAGTCCAGGAGGGAAAGAAGGACAGATCCCTTCCAGTCCTTAAACAGCAGCATCTTCTGAGGCAGCAGGTTTCTTCTCATGCATGCAGCAGCTGATAGCTGGCTTTCTGCCAGCATCCACGAGGGAGGTATCCAAGCCTCTCTCGGCCCCATCGCCTCACAACCGAGGGGTCTTCCGTGGGCTTCGTAACCCCAGACAAGGTCGTTTCACCACGTCATATCACGAAGACACAGGGGGGTCTTCGTGACGGTCTGGTATCTCTTGCAGGGCCTCTGTGCCCTGTCTCTCAGGCTGCCACTGTGGCAGCAGTGCAAGGGGGGGAAGAGCCAAGGTCAACTCCCCCTGCATTCCTCTCAGAGCTCTCTAGCTCCTTTCTACAGTGCATGTCGCACTTCAAGGCTCTTTCAAGTAAGAGTCCATCATCTTCCTCCTTCCAGGAGGTCTCAAAGGAGTTTTGGGGGAGTGTGGTACAGTCTTACCCCCAAGAACTCTGTAGCTCTCAGCTGCTGGCTCTCCTTTCCTCGACTCTCCTTCCAGGAGTCTCCTCTGCAGTGCTGCATGTTGCTTCTGCTGCTTCTTCAGTTCAGGTTCTTATCTCTGGCTCTCTGCCACTGTTTCTCTGGTCAGCGTCGGCTGCTGCTCTGTGCCCATGGAGAAAACATCTCCCGGCATACTACAGGCACCTAGCCCAGCTTTATGCTGTTCCAGGTCCCTGCAGCCCCCCAGCCAGGGGCTGGGAGGGGGGCCAGAGGCCCCAAGGGGCTCAGAGCCCCTTCCTCGTGGCTCTACAACATGGCCACCTCTCCTACCACCCCAAACTACAACTCTTCTTTTCCGGTCTGGTTGTGGTATGTTTACATTTCTGCAGGAGCGCCCATTGGGCAGAACTTCAAAACTTCCAGGGGTTTCCACCCCTTGGGGTCTACCACTTCTCTTAGCCTCTGGGGAGAACAAGGTTCAAACCACTACAACACTCCACCCCTCGCTCCTGCGAAATGTCAACATATCACAACAACTGAAAAAAAACTCTAATCAACATGCAATCTTCAATAAACTAAAATATAATCAAAATCTCTCTACTACATATCAACATAGCATCATCACAAACTTAACTCTACTCTTAATACTTAACTTACATTACTATAGGCTTACTTACTCTACAATGGTACAGTCTGTGTTTTGTCTGGAAAACTCTTTCTGTTACCACAAGCATCATGGCTCTTATCTCTCTCCCTCGATGGTTCGCAACCGTCCCCCTCGATGGTTCACAACCATCCCTCTCGATGGTTCGCAACCATCCTCTGCTACCATTTATGTCATGGTTTGAGATAGCCCCAACATCCAATTCTCTAGCTCCATTCCCCCTCCCACATCTCAACCTAATGTGAGATGGGTTTTTTCCAGACAAAACACACCAGACTCCAAAGTGGGGGAAAGGGAAATATATTACAATGACTGTACAAATAAATACCATATCACATTATACACATGATCACAAACTATCTCTACCATGACATATGTATTTACAATGGATCAGATCTCTTCTCCCCTCCAAATAAAAGTCCAGGAGGGAAAGAAGGACAGATCCCTTCCAGTCTCTGAACAGCAGCATCTTCTGAGGCAGCAGGTTTCTTCTCATGCATGCAGCAGCTGATAGCTGGATTTCTGCCAGCATCCACAAGGGAGGTATCCAAGCCTCTCTCTTGGCCCCATCGCCTCACAACCGAGGGGTCTTCCGTGGGCTTCGTTCACCCCAGACAAGGTCGTATCACCACGTCATATCACGAAGACACAGGGGGGTCTTCGTGACGGTCTGGTATCTCTTGCAGGAGACTCAGCTCCTCCTTGCAGGGCCTCTGTGCCCTGTCTCTCAGGCTGCCACCGTGGCAGCAGTGCGAGGGGGGGGGAGCCAAGGTCAACTCCCCCTGCATTCCTCTCGGAGCTCTCTAGCTCCTTTCTACAGTGCATGTCGCACTTCAAGGCTCTTTCAAGTAAGAGTCCATCATCTTCCTCCTTCCAGGAGGTCTCAAAGGAGTTTTGGGGGAGTGTGGTACAGTCTTACCCCCAAGAACTCTGTAGCTCTCAGCTGCTGGCTCTCCTTTCCTCGACTCTCCTTCCAGGAGTCTCCTCTGCAGTGCTGCATGTTGCTTCTGCTGCTTCTTCAGTTCAGGTCTTATCTCTGGCTCTCTGCCACTGTTTCTCTGGTCAGCGTCGGCTGCTGCTCTGTGCCCATGGAGAAAACATCTCCCGGCATACTACAGGCACCTAGCCCAGCTTTATGCTGTTCCAGGTCCCTGCAGCCCCCCAGCCAGGGGCTGGGAGGGGGGCCAGAGGCCCCAAGGGGCTCAGAGCCCCTACCTCGTGGCTCTACAACATGGCCACCTCTCCTACCACCCCAAACTACAACTCTTCTTTTCCGGTCTGGTTGTGGTATGTTTACATTTCTGCAGGAGCGCCCATTGGGCAGAACTTCAAAACTTCCAGGGGTTTCCACCCCTTGGGGTCTACCACTTCTCTTAGCCTCTGGGGAGAACAAGGTTCAAACCACTACAGTGTGATAGTGTGATATTGCATTTTCCTTTCCTCCCGGCCTGGATCAGACCTTTCAGAAATTATTTCCATGGGCTGCTTACCCCACATTTATCTTCTGCTCCTCGATACACTCATATTTAAGTGCCATTAATGGTAATTGAAAGCACCTTTGTGTGTGTTTTCCTCTGGCAATGACAGTGCTCCAGAGCATCGGGGCACGGTGCCGGGGGTTGCTCCCTGGGCAACAGGAACTGTGAAGGATCTCCAGGGCTGGGTCATCCCACCACCCCATCCTGGGAGCTGGGCAGCCATGGGAAGCTGGGCCAGTCCCAGCCCCAGGCATCAGGCACATCCCTGGGGAGAGGGACAGGCCCAGGTGGGTCCTGGATTTCAGTCTGTGGGTCAGCCCTGCTCCGTGGGGCAGGAGGGTGGTGGAGCAGAACCAACATCCTTTGGAATCACTGGGGGAATGAAATAGTGTGCTGGGTTATGGGCAGGGTGGGGAGAGCCCCTGGGAGCCAGGCAGTGGCTATGGTGGCCTCGGAGCCCTGGCACACAGCAGCTTCTCCTCGTTCAGAAATGACCTTGCACCCTCTATGTCCTGATCCAGGACTTTACACCCCCGTTAGAAGGGTGTGTTGTTAATCCATGTTGCTGTTTGGTGAGTTATTTTTGGATTTATGAAATGAAGGGAAACCCATATGCTATGGATGGTGGTGGACAATTACATTAGAAGTTACTATGCTGATATAAGTTTGAATAAAAGTTGTAATTCAGTAATTTCAATTATTAAAACACCAGGATATGTTTTATCCTCTCTTCTTCCATATGTTATGGTAACTGCTAAATTGCAGTTAAATATACTTTTGGCCCCAGCCAGCAAAGGATTCATTTTGCTTCCCCTTGAGGTCTCAGCAGATCTACTGTACCTTGTGCATTGCAAAATGGGCCCTCTCAAGAAAATCAGTATTACAAGATTTTTTTCCTAAATCATTTTTCAGAATAAAAATCTTCCATAATTCTTAGTTATTCTGGCCAAGTTGTACTGTTAGCCCAAGGTTTGGCCCCAGCTTTTTTCAGGGGTTGGGAAGAGAGGAATGTGTTAATCCCTATAACTAAGTAATGAGAATTTATTCTCCGTTGTGTACAGTTTCCAAGTTTTTGAAAGGCAAATATGTTTCTTCAGAAGTCATCCTGAGGCAACTTTATTTAAAAGTTATTGAATTTATTAGGAAATTTAATGAAGAACTCTTCTAATAAGGAAAGGAAGCTTCTGGTCTCCTTTTCAGACTGTAAAAAACAAAACAAAGCAAAACACCCTCCCAAAAAACAAACAAGCAAACAAACAAACAAAAAAAGCCCCACAAAACCAAATCAAGACAAAAGACATGCTAGGAATCCAAATTACTCTCTATGAACAGAGAAATAACAAGAAGTAGTGATAAAATCTTAAAAGCCACATAAGCTGGGGAACAGCTTTTGGAAAAGAATCACTTAACAAACAGCAAACATTCATACGGCCACTGAAATGCTCAAATATGTTAATTTTTAGTAAGAAATTCCCCAGTGGAAATAAAGTCATCCTTATACCACCCAGCCAAGGAGCACAACTGGTTTGCATGGTTTGCATTCAAAATGTTCACATCAGGCTTGGCTGCTCTTTTTCTTCTGCATCTGCTTCTGGCTCTTGGGTTTTTCGACACTGACTGCAAATTTGTGAGGCAGCTACATTTAAGTTTTCAGCAAGTTGTAAAAAAAAAATCTGCTTTCTTTTAACTTCTCCCTTTAGTAGCAATCTATGCTTTAGAGGAACAGCCTGTACTTGACCCTCTTTGCATGCTGCCTTTCCTTCCAACTCTAACACCACTAAAATAGCTCAGTGAGTGTTGTTCTTATACTCAGAACCAGTTGACATGAGTTGTTTTTGTTTGTGTGTTTATCAGAGAACACCATTGCCCAGCTCTAGCTCTCAGTGAGAGCTCATTTGGAAGCCACACACATGGTTTGCATTGAAGATGGGAGAGCCTGTGCTAAGTTTAAAACTCATTTAATGAGTGGGAAGATCTGTGGAATGAATGTGCTACTATGAAGAATGCAGTAGACACTTAGGGAAAAATTAAACACTCAATCTGTCTTGTAAAGACCAACCTCTGAGGAAAATACATTGTAAATTCAGTAGAAATGAGCAAAGATAATGCTTGGATGAAACAAGGCT